TTGTTGTTGTTGTTATGTGCCATGGAGTCGGTTCCGACTCATAGCAACTTTGTACAGGGTTTCCGAGGCTGTAAATCTTTACGGGAGCAGAAAGCTTCATCTTTCTCCCACAGAACAGCTGGGAGTTTCGAACTGCTGACCTTGCGGTTCGCAGCCCGATTCGTAACCATTACGCTACCAGAGCTCCTTCACCTCATAGGTGGCTCAAAAGCTGGATAACGACTAAAGAAGAGTTTAGAAGAATTGATCCATTTGGGCTGTGGTGTTGGCACAGAATATGAACTCCACCATGGAATGCCAGAAGAACAAATTAATCTGTCTTAGAAGTGCAGCCAGAATGCTCCTTAGAAGTGAGATGTCTTATGTACTTTAGACATGTTCTCAGGAGAGTTCAGTCCCTGGTGAGTGGAGGGTCAGTGAAAAAGAGGTGGACCTCCCAACAAGATGGACTGATACAGTGGCGGCAGCGATGGGCACAACAGTTGTGAGGATGACGGAGGACTGGGCCATGTTTCCTTTTGGTGCCCGAGGGGTCATTATGAGTTGGAACTGATGAGACAGCACCTAACAGAGATCTGAGAGGATATAAATTCCAGTCCTTGCAGCCACCCGTTTGTGGTACTTCTGTTAGGTCAGCTCTGAGAAAAAGCACCGTCCAGCAGGAGTGGCCCTCAACCACAGCGCATGCTCTCCTGGTGCATCCTGAGATGAGCAGGCAAAGATGGGCATGGGGGTCAGCCTGCCCATATGCCAAGGCCTGAACTCAGTCTGTGCAGTGAAGCGTTGCCCTCCGCTTAGGCCAGAGCTGATGCCAGGGAGGGCTTGTCCTATCCTCTGGAGCCCCAAATCTGGGCTGCAATGACAAGGGGCCAGTCCCAAGTCCATAACAGGCCCTCACCCAACAGACCTCTGTCCAGCCGAGTATGACAGCCTGCAGCCTGTCTACTAATGGTCTCACAGACCAGGGACCCAAACACCCCTCCTCTACATCAGCAGGTGGCAAGGTGGGAGTTGGGTCCTTCGGTAGGTAGGGCCAGCCAGGGGTGCTTCCCGAGGATGGTGTCCAGGTGGTGCTGGGAAGTGGCTAATTTGGGGGAATGAGCAGGGTGTCCTTCCCCAAAATTAGGAGGAGAGAGCGTTGCGTTTCTCTGTGTGTGTGTATGACCTGGGGTCAATGGCTGCGGGCAGAGAGTGTGGTGTGGGAGCGGGGGAACTATGCACAGAGCTGAGATGGAAGATGAGAGAGTGACAGGGGGGCCCACACACTGGGGAACATTCCCGTGCAGCATGTGCCCTTGGCCCAAGGGGCTGACAGCCACCAGAAGCAAACCCAGCCCTCTGTGGACCGACACATCATGTGATCACTTCATATTTGTGTATCCTGTTTTAAGCACTCTCACACTCGTTTATAACCGTTTCCCTAACATTACTGTACACTTCACTAACTACAGTACAGCGCAAACACGAACTTTCAGGCGCACTGGTGTGATACATTGAATTGTATCACACCCCTTAAAACATGTGTCAGCTTGCTTGGCACCTGATTTTCAATATCAGATAATTATCCTCCATTTGGTGATTGGATGCAATTCTCCTATGAGTTGCAAATACTCATCTCTGAGTCCTGGTGTGTGGCTCTGCAGGATAAGCAGTGAACTGCAAGGTCGTTTTGAACAGCAAGGTTGGCAGTTCAAACTCACCAGCCACTCCAGGGTTGTTCTGAGTCAGAAAGGACTCAACAGCATTTAACAACAACAACAACAACATGATGTTCAGTGAGCCCTGGTGTGGCGTGGTAGGATCAGCACTGGACTGATAATCAGCACAAGGTCAGCTGTTCAAATCTACCAGCTGTTCTTAGAGACCCTCTACAGGTAAATTAGAACAGAGTCAAGGGCAGTTAACAACATGCTAATGAGGCAGGATGCAATCTACCAGATGAGGTTGTATCCTGAGTCAATTTCTTTTGAGAACTAAGAAACTGACCAAGGGAGCAGAGATCAAAGGCTCCTACCACCACCAAGGACAAAGAGCTGTGAGTGGAGCCAGAGAACAGGAACCTTCACTCAGAACCCACAGAGAGACAGCTTCCTCTAGAGTTGGCACCCCCCAATTCAGACCTCTACCTTCCTAAACTGTGAGAGGACACATTTCTGTTTGTCCATGCCATCCACCTGTGATGTTTCTGTTCTCGCAGCACTAGACGACTTGGACAACTTGAAAACCAAAATAACCTCCCATGAGGCGCTTCACTGAGCCATTTGCTGTTGTGCAGTGGTCTGCCCTGCCTCCCCATCTGCCTGTACTGAGGGTTCCACAGAACAGAACACACGGAGGTGAAGGGGGCCGTGGTGTGGAGGGTAAGTGTGAGGGCATCAGAACAAGGCACCAGAGACCCAGGGATGGGAAATGAGAAGTTCAGAACCGGGTAGGAAGAGAAGAAGGAAAAATGAATCCATAAAGGGGGACAGTAGTTGGAGACAGAATGGCTGAGAACTTTCCAGAATTGATTAGACATAAATTTGCCAATTCAGGAATTGTAATAACTGCTGGACATGAGAAATAAAAGTGCTTACAATGTTAAAGTGAAGGAGCCAAGCACCCAGTAAAGAGAAGATCTTGAAAGCAACCGGAGAGCAGGCACATATTCGACACAACTCATTGAAGACGCGACAAAAACTTCTCAGACATAGCTCAACACCTTCCAAAACCAGTTTTGTAGGTTTGCAAGCTTAGAATCGTCGTCTCATGGGCCAACCCAGTTCTCTGCCATGCCACTCTCAAAGTTCATGTTCTGCATCTTAGTGAAGTTGGTGGCATCCGGGGCCTTAAACATGCAAGTAGCCACCTAAGATACAAAAAACTATAGGTCTCTGCTTGTCATGAGCAACAAAAGTACACAAAGGTAATCAAAATCACAGAGAAGAACCAGTCTACAAGGCTGTCGGCGGGCACAACCCACGACTTCAACTACTCTGAGACCGGAAGAATTAGATGGTGCCCAGCTAACCACCACTGACCAAACTAGGGGCACAACAGATGATCACAGTTAGAACAGGAGAAAACTGCAGATGAGAACTCTATTCTTTCAACTGGCCAGTCTAACAGGCTCACCTGAGACCAGAACCCTGCGACTATTTAAACCTTGCTATGGATTGAATTGTGTCCTCTCCCAAAATCTGTGTTGTAAATCCTAGTCCCTCTATGCCTGTGCTGGACAGCTCACAGTAAGGTGGGTGGTTCAAACCCACAAGCGCTCCCTGGTCTATAGGGTCACAAGGACGTGGATGTCAGTGCATGGGTCGGTTTGCCCTTGTGCCTCACACTGAGGACCAAGCACTCTCTCGGCAGGCAGGAGCTGGGACAGCTCATCCACCACCTGCTCCTCTGGAGGGACCGTAGCAGTCTGCCTCCATTTAGACCCAAATCCACTGCCGTCTAGTGGGTCCCGACTCCTAGCAACCCTGCATGACAGTCTCTGAGACTAGAATCTTTATGGAAATCGACTGCCACATCACAGTCTCCTGAAGAGCAGCTGGTGGGTTTGAACCACTGACCTTTATAGTAAGCCCTTAACCCACCTCCAGGGCTCCTGCCTTAAAAGTGACAGCATGGGGACCCTCGGCCCAGCACGGTGGCGGCCAGCAGTGTGCTGGTTTCCAAGGATGAGACTCCAGCATCATTTTCTTCATCCGTCTGTAGCCTGCTTTCTGCCCAGGGAGGAGAGTCCCAGAGAGGCATGCTCCCACGGGCACCAGCCAGACGGCCCAGCGGCCACGGTCTGGAGACAAGAGGACCCTGTGGAGTCACTTCAGACAAAGCTTCCACGCTAGAAGCCCCAGGTCTGCCCTGAGAGATGCCAAGGCAGGCGGGCTGATAGTGCATCTCCAGAGCAAGAAGGGGGGACATATCGTCTCCCAGTCAGATGAGGGGACGGCACGTCTCCTAGGTCAGGTGGGAGGAACGGTAGGTCTCCCAGGTCAGATGGGGGCAGGTGCACCAAGGTCCCCATGGGACACAGCCACTGAGCCACCGAAGCAAATGTGAGGCTGGTAGTTCTTTCTGGGATTTTTATTTCTTTAAAATAATTCATACAAATGGTTACAGTCACAAACATGATTTTAACCAAAATATTGCTAGCCTACCACATCAGCAGGACAGCCTCGGGCAGGCGGAGCGGCCAGCCTGCCACCAGCGGGTCAGTGTCGCCAGCCGGCATGGCGAGCACGATGGGCGTCCTCAGAGATGCTCTGCAGCGATGACTTCATGTAGATTTGGGGGGGGGGGGGCTCATGCCAAAGTTGGGGGAGGGCAGGGGGACAGCCTTTGTTTTATTTTTCTAAATTATTCTAAAAATAAGACAAGCAGGTAGAAAAACAATGCACTGTGTGGCGTGGAAAGAAAACGGGAAGTATTCATTGTCCTGAGAAGTTTGCCAACTGCCTCGTTCCGGGGCACGCTTCACGTAGAAAAGGAAAATTCTCGGAACCCGCCCGCCGGCCCGCCCACCTGCCCGCCCGCCAGGGATCTCGTTTCCTTGACAGGTAAAGCAAACAAAGCCTTCTTAATGTTCTAAAAACTGTACACAGACAAGAACAGTCATGATATAATTAACTACGAACTTCTTCTGCTTAACGAAGGACGCGGGACACAGGACAGTGGGCCAGTCCGGGGACGGGGCGACTACAAGGGGGACGCTTGCCGCTCCCGCCCGCCTGCCAGGCCTGTCTCTGGGCGCCGGGGCCTCCGCACGGCCCGTCCGCCAGGGCTCGGGGTAGACAGCTCGCCTGGGCTACAACTGGTCACTAGTGGGGTCTCTATCCGCCTCGGGCTTGACGGTTTGGCCAGGAGAAGGGGCGTGGGGCGGATGGGCCACGGGGGGCAGGCCGTGGGACAGGGACATGGCGCTGGGGACGATGCCTTCAACGGCGGCCGGGATGCCGGTGGGAGCCACGCCTACCACGCCTGGCGGGTACCTGCTGGGAGAGGAGAGAAGCCGTGGTATTGGCTGGGAGCAGGAGGACGTGGGCGGGTGGCAGCATCTCGGCAGACTGCAGGGTGTGGCCTCGGGGCGGAACACTGACTGCCTGGGTCCGAATAGTTCCATGACCATGAGGCCTGAGGACAGTGCCCCATCTCCCCTGGGGCTGTCAGTGTGCGGAGACCCTTGGCTCCCCTCGGCTCTGGTCACCTCCCTGCACCGCGTCCCCGCCCAGCTAGGCCAGGCTGCTTCCTGCTGACCAGAACATTATGTGGCCCCCACATGGAGAATGTGGCCAGGTCACTAGGCGCGGTCTGGGCCTCAAGGCTCCCGGGGGTCACAGATGCTTCTCCAGATGTCCCCCGAAACTGGGACACCCCACCCCCAACCCAGTCCCAACTGATCAAGCCAGTCCAGCAGTGGAGGACCCGCACGCTGCTTCCTAAGTGGACACCACGGGCGGGGAGACACCCCCTGCTCACCTGTAGGCTGCTCCGTTGAGCTCAGGGTGCACCACGGCTGGGTCCATGCTGGCCCAGTGGGTGGCGGCGGTCAGGTGGTCTTTGTTCACACAGTTCTTCAGGCTGTCTGGGATCCGACCTGCAGATACCACAAAGGGCGGACCCAGCACCAGGTGAGGAACGGGCCTGATGGGACCCCTGGAGACAGCTTGATGGAGACACAGGGCTATGCCTTCCTCCTCCAACACCCTGGGCACACTGTGTGTGTGACGTCACAGCTGTGAGGCACTCGAGTACAGTGGTGCTCTCAGCTCTGTGTCTCCAACGGCAATGAAGTGGCCCCTCCCAAGGCCACCCTGCCAATCTGCCCTCCGGCACTCGTGCCCACCTGTGATAGCTCTCCGGATCTCGCGGGCCGCTTCCTCGCGCATCTCGATGGAGGCCTGCTCACTGTACCAGGCCGCGTGGGGTGTGCATATCAGGTTTGGCGCGTCCTTCAGGGGGCCCTGGCTAAAGCTGAGGACAGTGCAGGGCACAGTTACAGTGACCACAGACACTGTGGCCCAGGAGTCCCCCAGGCTGGACATGGCTCAAGGCCATCAGCCCTGAGATGCTCAAACTTGCCCATGTGACCACACTGAGAAGGGGCAGGGTGGGGCTCTCCAAGCCCCTGTAGGGAGATGATGTGGACTAGGTACCCTCCCACAGAAGGGTCGTCACCCCTCCCGAAGGCTGCCCACTGCTCCCAGCATCGCTGGCTCCTCCACAGCTGCCCGAGACCTCCCCAAGCCCCAGCAGTGGCCAGGAAAAGATAACATGGGGGACCCCCAGGATGCCTAGTGCTTGCATTTGGGGACGACTCAGGTAGCATCTAGGAACAGGTGCAGTCCTGAGGAGTCCAGCTCCATCTGGTCCCCCAGGATGCTCTGATATCACCATGCAGGGGGCCGAGAGCCATCCCCAGCCGGGAAGCCGGCCACGGCCACTGCTAAGACCCAACAGCACGCAAATGAAGGCTGGCAGGGCCGTACCCACAGTCTCAGTTGCCCAGGCAAGGACTCGGGAGACACTGGCAGGAGGGGCCCCCCACCACTGCACCAAGCCCCCTCCCCGGGCGGTGCCGAGGGTCCCACCTGAAGGGCTCCGACTCGTGCACGTCCAGGGCTGCACCACGTATCCGGCCCTCTTTCAGGGCCTGCGCGAGCGCTTTCTCATCCACCAAGCCACCTCGCGCTGTGTTCACCAGGAACGCCCCTTGTCTCATCTGCAAAACAAGATGTGCCCTGTTGGCACATGCAGACGGAGGGCCACCACCTCCCAGGGCAGCCGGGGCTCACGGTGGTCAGCGGTACAGACAGCCTCCCTTTCCCGACCTGAGATCTCCCAGCTGGCTCTGGCTCATGGACCCCAAGCCTGAGTAACTCCCGCCTACCCCCACCAGGCTGCCATGTTCTGGCTCCCAAAGAGCAGTACAGGGGAGCCCACCTGCTTACTGCCTCTGGTTCTGGGCCCCTCCCCAGCACCCCAACTCGGCATGTGGTGCCTCGAAAGGGACTGGGGGATGAGAGCTCGGTCACTGTGGGCGGGGTCCCCATCCACAAAGGCCCAGGCTCCATCCCCTTTAGGCAAGGGTGTGGTCAGCAGGGGTGGTCTTCCAATGTACCAACTCCAGCAGAGACCCTGTTCCTGACAGGACTGTGATTACAGCTGCAGATCCCAACACAGGCTGGAATCTGTGACTTTAGCTCCGAGCTGGCCAGACACCAGACGTCCCCACGGCACAGGGAGGGCCTGTGTGTCCAGAGACTGCCAGGCACATCTGTCTGGGGAGGACAGCTTGTCCTCATGCACTAGGGGCTGTGGTGGCCACACAGCCACAGCTCCTTGCAATAGCACTACCCGAGCGGCGTCTACACGCCATAGCTCCCAGACCCACCATCTCTGCTGAATAAAGCAGGGCAATGGTGGCGGGCATCCTGCCTCTTGCCCCGTGTGGCCTGCAAGGGCCTGGGGCAAACAGAGTGTGCACATGCATACACGTGCAACAAGAACACACCCACAAACAGGCACTGGCGCAGTACATGCAATGAGTACACACAGTGTGCATCTGGACAGACATGCACTCAGCATGCATATGCACACAGACATGCAGATGTGCAGAGGTGTACACGCATCCACATACAAGCACGCAAACATGAGCTGGTCCACAACCACACACACACACACACACCAGTCCACACATGGATACACACAAACATGCACATACACAACTGGAAAGGCTCAGAGGCCCAGGGAGAGGCCACCAGAGTCCCAGCTCCTGCCCTGATGTTCCCTCTGAGCTCAGGACTGGGGGCATCAAGCTCCCTGCACTCAGGCACTGGGCAGTCTCCCAACGCAACCTTTCTGGATATGGGCTTCAAGCTGAACCATGACAGTATGCACATCTGAGGGGGGATGCAGTTGCTAGACCAAACACCCATCCCCAAGCACACTGCTGGGTGGGAGGAAGTGGCCTGTAAGGGCTCCTGGAAATGTATCTCAGGGGTGCTGTCTGCTTGGGTCCGACTCAGTGAGCCTATATCGGGTGTTCAAGGCTATAAACCTTGATGAGAGCAGAAAGCCTTAGCTTTCTTGCGTGGAGCAGCTGGTGAAGTCAGTCCACTGACCCAGAGGTTAGCAGTCCAGTGTGTGACTGACCACGCTACAGGGCTCCTATGGAACGTTGGTAAGTGCCTTTGGAATACAACTCAGAAAAGCAAGACAGGTGCCAGGGCAGAGCTCCCTGCTGTCAATGACTGCTCTGGACACCAGGGGGCAGCAGAGACCTGGGCCGGCCTGGGCACAGGGCAGCAGGACCCACCTGCTTGACGGTGAAATCATTGATGAGGTGATGGTTGTGCTCGTTGAGGCCGCAGTGCAGCGTCACGCAGTCACTGTGGAAGAGGAGGTCCTGTAGGGTGCTGACCCGCTGCAGCCCAAGCGCCCGTTCAATACCATCCGACAGGTATGGGTCGTAGAACAGCACGTTGAAGCCGAAGGCCTTGGCCCGCAGGGCCACCGCCTGCCCCACGCGACCTGCAGAGGCCCAGACACGGTCACTTGCTGTCTACAACCAGGGACTCATGGCCTCCTCTGTGCCCAGTTTCTCTGCCTGCCTGTTGGAACCACCCAAGGGAGCCTGTTATGAGACTCCATCCCAGTGGGAGTGGGACCTGAAGGCCTGGAGCCCGAGGTCCACCTGGTGCATGTGGTCAGCACTCCCTGAGTGGACTCAGGAGGCAGCACCTGCCATCTGCACTTTCTCCTCAACCCACCACTGCTCACAAGTCCTCTCAGACAAGGCCCCTGAAGGGCAACTCCAGTGTCCACACGCTGGCCTCAGGGGCCTGGGGTCTGTGGCTTTGCTTCCCCTTTGCTCTCCCTCTTCTCAGGTCTTCCCAAGGCACAGGCACTGGGGATCCCCCAGAGCAGGAGGGGGTGTGCCTGCCCCTCTGAAGTGGGAACTTCCCTGCAGAAATCACACCTGGCTAGAATTGTCCGTGCCCCGCAGGCCGGCAGGTGCACAAGTCTGATCGCACCTGGGGCCAAGAGCAGGCAGATCCCTGAGAGCTGGGGAGTGGGAGGGGAGCTGTAGCTGCTCTTGGGGGCAGGGTCTCTGACGTGAACACACCACGGCACCCACCATACCCAGACTGCACACTGCCTACTCCAGGCACCAGACAGAGAGGGAAGGCCAAGGGCTGGCCAGAGGCGCTCCCGCGCCCAGAGAAGGAGGACAGAATGGGTGATGTGCCCTGTGCCGTACCAGAAAGGAAGCCCCTATACAAGGGCTCACAGTGCTGCTTGGTGAGTGGTATCCAGTCACTTCTGATTCGTAACGGCCCCATATAGCATTTCCGAGGAGTGCTTGGTGGGTTTGAACTGACTTTGAGGTCCGGTACTTACCCTACCCCACCACACCAGGATTCCAGAGTGCTGGAACTCTGGAACTCTTGTTTACAACTGTAAACAAGGTGGGCCTCCCAGAGAAGGCCACACTGGTCAGAGACGTGCAGTGAGAGGAAGACATCAGACTGCAAGACCGGCTAGTGAGCCGCAAGGAGCAGCGGTCCATGGGCCTCCAGCAGGACAGAGGGAGGCCGGGGGCTGAGGAGGGCTCAGCCTGGTGTGGCGCGATAGGATAAGCACTAGACTGCAAAGTTGGTTTGAACCGTGGTCAGCGGTTCAAACTCACTAGATGCTGCTTTCCAAAAACCCTACAGAGGGTCACTATGAGTCGGCACCGACTCAAGGACACTTTACAACAACTTTCATGAGTGTTGTGGATCCCATTAAAATGAAGCCCTTGTAACTTCAATCGTTTCTCTGCTGACGATGATGCTATTGATGGTCTAGTTGTGGACTTTTCTTTACCCTGAGCTGCAATCTAGACTGATGGCTACATTCTTGCAGCTTTATCAGCAAGTGCCTCAAGCCCTCTTTGCTTTCAGCAAGCAAGGTGGTGCCATCTGCATACCGCAGGCTGTCTGAGCCTTTGTCCAATCTTGATCCCGTGTTCTTCAGATTGTTTGTTCAGCATCGACTGAGTAAGTATGGTACCACATTTCCTGATGTGAAACCATTCAATGTCCCCTTGTTTTGTTAGAAAGACTGTCTTTTGGGCTATGTTCAGGTTCCTCAGGAGCTTAATTAAGTGTTCTGGAATACCCGTTCTTACAATGCAATCCACAGTTTGTTCTAATCCACACCGAGTCAATAAAATGCCAGTAAGCATCTATCTGGTATTCTCTGCTTTCAGCCAAGAGTCATCTGATGTCACCCCTCTGTATACAGGGTAGATAGGGACGGGCAACTTAGACACTGGCTACCTAAAATAGGGGGATATCAAGGCACAGAGTGACTGACTTACAAGTTTTCAAGAGGGGGTTTAGTTTAAGAGTGTGCAGGGGAAAAGTAGAGCTCTCACTGAATAGTTTTCATTTTGTCTAGATGGGGAGATGGGGATAAGATTCTTATGATTCAATAGTAATTGTTATCGTGACTAATTGCGACTGTCACAACCGTAAAAGAAATTTTGTAACAAAAAGGGGGGAGTAGTTAATCTTACAGTCCAGAAATAGAGGACTCTAGGACCATCAAGGAAGAAGAGCACAAGCAGAATGCGGGACCCTATCCAGAGAAGCAGCACCAGAGATGGAGGCAGAGATGAGGACATGGAGAGAGGGAGCAGCTGAGGACTCTGGATTCATGGAAAGTGAAGGTCTGGGTGCTGGCGGCCAGGAGACAGGCTTACAGGATGAGTCCTTTGGTTGTTTACACGATTATATATTCCTGACTGTTTTTGTGTACATCCCCACCCACCCCCAAAAAAAACAGAGGGAATGGAAGTAAATACTATTGAATGATGACACACGGAGGGAATTGTAATCATTGTAATAAAGTGTAAAACTGATGTTCTCCACGTAAACTAGCCATCAGTTAACAAAAAACAAGTCATCTGATGTCAGTAATGACATTCTTCACTCCACATCCTCTTCTGACTCTGACTTGAACTTCTGGCAGCTCCATTGTCAATGTGCTGCTGCCCCTGTCTCTGCATCATCTTCAGCCAAACTTCACTTGCACGGGATACTGACTTTGTTTGATAAGTTCTGTACTCTGTTGGGTCATCTTCCTCTGGAAATAGGCACAAACGAGGATCTTTCCAAGTAGGTTGGCCAGACATCCGTCGTCCAAAGTTCCTGGCATAAATGAGTGAGTGTTCCCATGGCTGCATCAGTGTGTTGAAGCATTTCAACTGGTAGTCCGTGTTTACCCATAATTTTTTTTTTTACAGTTCTTTCAGTTAGAGAAAATCCAAGCGTGATTTTCCTGTTTCTGGTTTCTTAACTCCAGGTTTTGCACATTTTATTAGATTACTTTACTTGGTCTTAAGCCACTCTGAAATTTTCCATACAGCTCTCATTCTTCATCATTTTTTCCTCTCACTTTAGCTACCCTACCCTAGGTTCAGGCAAGCTTCATATTCTCTACTGACCTTCTCTTTTGTCACATTTACTTTCTTTCCTGTGTTGGTAATAGCCCTTGATGTCATCCCACAACTCATCCGGTCTTCAGAGGATCAAACCTGTTCTTAAAGGGGCCTCTGAATTCAGAGGGGATCTACTCAAGGTCGTAGTTTGTCTCTGGTAGACTTGTTTCCATTTCCCCGAGTTTCAACTTGAACTTGCATATGGGTCTGCCCCCGGCCTTGTTCGGTATTTAGCTTCCTTATGATCTCTTTCCACAGATGTAGTCAATTTGACTACTCTATAGGAGGGTAAGTCAAAAAGTATTTCTACAAAATCACAGAAATCTTTATTAAGCAAAAGTATCAAAAAGTGAAGCTATTGTTTCTCACCATCTTCTCCATCAAGGTCTGAAGGCTGTATTCCCAGCTCTCTAGCCTTTCCCTGGAGAATTCTGTGCTTACTGATTTATACCACGTTCAAATGGCAGTTTGGGCATCTTCGAAGAAGTCAAATCATGTTCCTTTGAAATGTTCAAGTTTGGAGTGTAAGAAGAGGCCTGAAGGGCAAAACAAGGGCTGTAGGGTGGACATGACAAGGCTTCCCAACTCCATTCTCACAAGATGGCCCTTGCTGCCCTCAGGGAACAAGCAGGTGCATGCTGGGAGGGAACTAATCCCTCGGTGCAACTTCCCTGGCCTTTGTGTTACCAATACAGCTTGCCCGTTTCCAGTTTAAAAAAGTCTTCCTAACGTCGCCCTGCCCCCACGCCCGAGTCCTGGCGTGGGTACTGCAGGAGAATGCGCTGGACTGCAAGGTCGGTTTGAACTGCCCACCAGCCACTCCTCGGAAACCCTGTACAGGGTCACTGTGAGTTGGAAGTAACTCAACGGCACTCAACAACAAGTGCGCATCCTGTGTCCTTTGAGAAAAGACAATCCACATTCGCCCTCTGCTGTTGCCGAGTCACTTCCAACTCACAGCAAGCCTGTATTGGGTTTCTGAGGAGCAGCTGGGAAGTTTGAACTGCTGACCTTATGGTCCAGTGCTGATCCCACAGTACCACACACCAGGACTCCCATTACTATTTCCGAATCCCACAGAGCAGTCGCCATAATCCTCTCTGCCCCATGGATCCCCTTGGAATTGGATTGGTCCTTGCTTTCTGGATCATATCGGTGATAAATACAAGACCCGATTACAATTCATTCCATAACATCATTTTCATTAGCTGCATTCTTGCTTAACAGACTGATGAACAGATCAGCTCTCTGAGCTAGCAGAGCTTCACACAGACACTCTGGGGACCCATGGAGCCACTACCCTGTGGCAATCATGCGGGTTCCTTAGAACCGACACTGCTGTACCGTGTGAGACACCTCAGTAACTCTCAGTGTCATCATGATCATGCTAGTCGTCTTACACACACAGCTTTCTGTATATCAGTTACAATGTCTTCATTCGTCAGGGTTTAGGGTTTGTCTGCTCCTGGCCCATCTTTGAGGTCTTCCCGACATCCTAATAATACCTGACCCATCTAAAAACGGCAGCTGTGCGTAGGGTAGCCTTCCCATGAACAAGGTGCCAAGCTTCAATGATTTGGGAAGATATCTTCTGGAGGTGCTTTTTTTTTTTTTAAATCTTAGTATTAGCTCTGACCTTAAAATCGTTTCCCCTACCACAAATAAGTATTGTTTCTGAGTGACAGCCCCTAATGAGACCAGCACAAGTACGTTACTGAGAAAACTGAGTGCAGAGACACTTAACCACGTCTTGTTGTCTGAGACTCGTGTAACAAAACTCTTGCTTTCTCCTCATTTGTTGAAAAAAGGCATTAACAATGACTAGGTCACAGGTCCTGCAACATTCTATCATGCAATCTCTGGTAGCAAATCTAAGACCAACGACACATTTTTCAACTCTGTTTACAACTTTTGCATTCCAATCACCAATGCATTAAGATGCAAGGCTGATCAATGCCAGACTGCAAAAGTTGGCAGAATTCGTCACTGTCTTCATCTTTGGCACCCACCAGTGATTAGTGTGTCCCTTTGAGTAATAGTTCTATTACCGGGTGTTCTGTGGAGGCACATGGACACTCTCTCTCACTGACAGCATGGTACTTCAGGAGAGATGCTGAAATATGCTTTCTGACGATGCATATGCCATGATTCTTACCCCCATTCCTAAGTTCGTCTGATTCGGAATGGCCAATACCTGTCCATTTCAGCTCACTAATGTCTAGGGCATCGATTCTTAGGCTCCATTTCATCCTGGACCACTCCAATTTTCCTGCATTCACACTGTGCACATTCCATGTTCTGATGGTCAGTGGATGCTTGCAGCTGTTTCTTCTCATTCTCAGCCATGCCACTTCAGCAAACAGAGGTCCTGAAAACTTTACTCCATCTGGGTCATTAAGAGGGCCTCTACTTTGAGGAGGCAGCTTTTCCCTAGTTGTATTTTGAGTGTCTTCCAACTTGAGAGGCTCATCTTTTGATGCCATTTCAGTGTTTCACTGAAATTCATAAGGCTTTTACTAGACAACAGTTTCAGAAGGAGCTCACCAGGTCCTTCTCCCTAGTCTGTCTTAGTCTGGCCGCCATGGGTTGTCCTGCTGGGATTTGAAATACCGCTGGCATAGCTTCAAGTATCACAGCAACGCCTATGCCCCACAGTACGACAAACTGACAGGCAAGTGGTAATAAAGGGATGTTGGTGCTGTTAAGTGCTATGGAGTCTGGGTTTCCAACACACGGCAATGCTGTATAGGGTTCCAAGAGCTGCTGGAAAGGTAGGTCTGAACGGCCAACGTTTGGGTTAGCAGTCCAGTGCTTATCCTACAGCAGGGCTCAATAAAGAGATAAATATTAAAAGTAATAAGGAAACAGGTGTCATAAAAAGGAACCAAGCAGAAATCCTGGAGCGGAAAAGTCCAAAAATGGAAATGAAAAACGCACTTGAAGGGTTCAGTAGCAGATTTGAGCAGGCGGAAGGAAGACTCAGCAAACCTGATGAGTGAAACTACCCAGGCTCAGGAGCAGAAAGAAGAAGGAATGCAGACAAATGACCAGGGGCTGAGGGGCTGGCAAACAGCATCCAAACATGCCCTAGGGGACTTTCAGAAGGAAGAGAATGAACTCAAGGGACAGAAAAGATATGTGAAGAAAGAATGCCTGAAAACTCCTCAAATCTGAAGAAAGACATGAATATGCACATCCAAGAAACCCACCAACTCCAAGCAGGAAAATCCAAGAAATCCACACCAAGGTACATTACAATCAAACTGAAACCGCAACCAACAGGATTTTTCAAAGCAGCAAGAGAAGCGACTTAAAAAGTTATAAAGGGCCCTCCACGGGACGGCTGCTGTTGCGGTTACATGCCTTCAAGTCGCCTGCAGCCCATAGCGACCCTGTACAGCGTTCCAAGGAGCAACCAGTAAGTCTGAACAGCCAAACTCATGATTCGAACTGACCCTACGGCCCTGTGCTTTATCCCATTGCGCCACACCAGGACCATAAGATTAGCAGCTCGTTTAGCCCCAGAAACCACAGAGGCCAAAAGGCAGCAGACTGTCATAGTCCAAGGACTAAGAAAAATACAGGATATTCTGTATCTTACAAAGCTATACTTCAAGAATGAAGGCTAAATTTAAGACATGTCGACATAAACAAAAGCTGAGGAAATTCATTACTATAAAACTGCCCTTCAAGAAATGCTACAGGGAGGTCTTCAGGCTGAGCAGCAACTAAACGCTGTAAGAAAAATAACACCAGCAATAATTTTATCAGCAAATGTAAAACCCAGTAAATACGGTACTTCTGATTTGGCTTTAAAGTTCTCCCAAGTTCGGCAGTTCGAAACCACCAGCGGTTCTGCAGAAGAAAGATGAGGCTTTCTGCTCCCGTAAAGATTTACAGCCTCAGAAGCCCTGTACAGTACAGGGTCACTATGAGTCGGAACCGACTCCAAGGCACTTAACAACAACAACAACAACTTGTTCCTTTATGATACAAAAGGCAAACGCCTAAAGAATTCTAAATCTGTGCTGATGGGCACACAGTCTATAAAGACACATCTGTGACAAGAATATCAAGTTGTAAGGATAAAGGTGTACAGGAGTAGACGGCTTGTATACTAGTGAAACTAAGCTGGTATCGTTCACGCTAGACTGCAGCCACACTCACTCCGCTACACGTCTTCCACCCTGGGGGACCCAGGCACATTTCAGGTGTTCATGGCAGCATACGGCACAGGGCCTAGGCAGAGGGTCAGTCCCAGGCTCTAGCCCTGACTCTGGTGGGGGTGGAGGTGACTGAGGTGTGACAGTCAGTGTACACAGGAGTGCTTGGTCCAGTGTCGGTGTGGGCTCAGCACCCCACTCCATGGCGAGGCCAGACCAGCTGCCCTCAACCTGGTGCTGGGCATCCTGCTTCCTGTCCGGGCAGTTGGCCAGCTCTGAGTAGCCACAACCCAGGACCACAGCCTCATCTTCTGCCCTGAGCGACTGCTGGAACCGGCAAACACGGGGGCCCAGGCCCGGCTAACGCACCTAGTCCAATGATGCCCAAGGTCTCCCCGCGGATCCTGGCGGCACCGGAAGCCACTTCCCGGATCTGCTCCACACTCTGGACTCGAGTGCCTTCCCGCAGCGCCTGGTGCAGCCACGTGGTCCGCCGGTACAGGTTCAGGATGTGGCACAGGGTCGAGTCCGCAGTCTCCTCCACGGAAGCCGCCGGCACGTTGCAGACAGCGATGCCTGTGAGGACACACGGACACACGTGGGCTCCCAGGATAGACACTGCGGAGCAGGCTGAGCGGGTCACTGGTTCCGAAACCTCTTAGAAGAGCAGGGGCTGAAGCCACCCACCTTATACCCTGACGCCGGAACGTGAGGCGGGGCTAGCAGCCAGGGCTCCGCCTCTAGACCGGTTCCTCCCCCAGCCCCAGGGCACAACGGGCAACAGAAGAGGATGCTGCCCCCTCCCATGTGTGTGGGGCCAGCAGATGCCCAGAACACCTGCCTGTCCGTTCTGTCCCAAGATGGCCCAGAAGAGGGCGCCTGACCAGGGTCCCAACCAAGACGCAGGCTCCACCTCTGCCTCCACCATGAAGCGAGCATGTGGTCCTGCTCCGTCACCGGGAGCCAGCCTCCCCAACAAAGATAGAAGAATCCCCAGGGAAGCAACCCGGGGCTGGGGCTCGGGCTCTAACACACGGTACTCCTACTTGCTGGGCCGGGGTTTAGAGCCGGGAGGCGCCTCAAGCGCCTGCGCCATGCCACCTGGCTCCTCACTAGTCTTCTGCCTCCGCAGGTACTCAATGCAGCCTGGAGCTGGTACTGTGTCCCCCGGCTCCAGCCCTAATGCCAGGGCCACTGTGAGGAGCCGTGTCCCTGCGCCCTGCCTGTCCCTGCCAGAACCCCTCCTGCTCCCTCTCATTTCACTTTCTTGCTCTGAAAATTCCCCAGGCTGTTGTTTGAAGTTTCCATCTACTTCCCCGTTCACCCAGAGTCTGGACAATATTAGTTGGACTTCACGCTGACTGCTTCCCTGGCTCTAACATGAGGGGCAATGGGTCTGACACTGAAGGGATGAGGGTGGAACTTCGAAGGGTGGTGTACGACACGGAGGGGGCAGGGCCTGATAGGAGAGGCGTGGGGTCTGAAATGAAGTGGGCGGGACTGATAGAGGGGTGGTGTCTGATGTGGAGGCGGGGCCTGACACTGAGGCGGGGAGCCTGACACGGAAGGGACGCAGTGTGACGTCAGTGGGAGTTGCCATGGAGGCACGGCTCCGACATGGACAGGACAGGGGCTGTCGAAGTGCACCAGGGATGGAGAAACAACTCGCTTCGTCACAAAAGGCAAGACCAGGAGTTCTGGAATCGGCCCACTTAGGAGGTAGGCCCAGAGCACACAGCATCCAACTGTCCTTGGGCTGAGGGGCACACCCCACCTCCCCAAGTGGAGAAACCCCACCTCCCCAAGTGGAGAAACCCCACTTCCCTGAGTGAAGACACCCTCATCTCCCCGAGTTGAGGGACCCTCATCTCCCCGAGTGGAGACACCCCACGTCCCCGAGTGGAGACAGCCCACCTCCCCGAGTGGAGATACCCCAGGCCCTGGTCCTGGGGCCACAGCTCCATTCCAGCATGTGGAAGCCGTGGCCCAGAGGAAAAAGGGGCTGAGCCAGGCACTAGAGAAAACATTTTCCAACTACTGGCTACGAGACATGGGTGGCACGTGATGTCATGGAGTTTCAGTTAACATTAGGAAAAGCGAGACCAGGAAGAAAGGAGCTGGAACAGAGAGAGCAGTAGACTTCACTGAACACAGGCGGCGGCGTAGTGCTCTGCACGTGTGTTTCAGCACAAGTGTGTGTGTCTGACACAAGACCCTTGACATTTTCTCCTGTGTTTTGTGTAATCCCCTGATGCAGACATGCTGACTGCCTGCCTCATGGCCCCATCCCTGCTCAGGGCTGGCTGTTCAGCGACGGGAGTCCTGGACCAGTTAAAGGGCCTGGGTGAAGCTAAGGTCGGCACCCCAGCAAAGCTGTCCTGCAGAGCTAGTAGAAACAGGGTCCACACCAGGCCTGTAAATGTCAAGAGGCAAGATTCTCACTGCTGTAAATAAAACCTCAATGGAGAAAGCCCCATGGCAAAGATGACACCAAGGAAGCAGAACCCAAGAAAGGCTCAGAGCAGAGAGGACCTGGACCAATCTTCCTACCTAAATCCCCGGCTGACTTTATGTCGATGTTATCAAAACCACTGCCAATGCGCACGATGATCCGGAGGGCTTTGAACTTCTCCAGGTCCTCCCTGGTTAAAGTGATGGTGTGGTACATCAGGGCCCCCACAGCTTCATTCAGGACCTGGAGAAAAAGGAGAGAACGCATGGCCGTGAGCGTGCCGGTCCAGCCTGCAGGAGGCACTCAAGTCACAGGGGCCTGGCTTAGAGTGCGCACACGGAGCCTGCTGACTTTGTCAAAACCCATCTCTGGCTCTGAAGGCACGTGGACCCCAAGGAGGAATTTCTGGGACCCCAGGGAGAGGCCCCCTCCCTGCATGTATGCTCTGACAGGGGGTTGCTAACAAGAAATGTTGTCTGCAGGCACCAACAGCTTACTCTACACTGCAGCTGGTGTCTGCAGCCAGCTCTGGACTCCTGGCCCAGACGTGTCAAGGACACGTGTGGTCCTGGGCCCCACCACTTGTTTTTGCAGCTCCACATTACCAGCGCTCCTAGAGAGGAGGCAGCAGGCAGGCAGCTGCTGGAGACCAAAGCTAAGAAGCCCAGAAATTCCACTACCATGGCAGCTAGACTCCACTGTTGCCCATCAGTGCCAATACTCTAGGCCACCCAGAGTGTTCACACAGAAGTCATAGCAGCCTCTGCTCTGACACAGACTAGCGTGTCCCAGAGACCTGTCCTGGAAGGTTCCCAGGGACACTGTTCATGACGGCTCCCCCGGGGCTACAGGGAGGAGGAGAGAACACACAGCACAGGTATGAACTAAGGTGTGGTCACATGGGGGCATCACAGAGCACAGGTTTGAAAGATGTGGCCACATGGGGGCATCACAGAGCACAGGTATGAACTGAGGTGTGGTCACATGGGGGCATCACAGAGCGCAGGTATGAGCTGAGGTGTGGTCACATGGGGGCATCACAGAGCGCAGGTTTGAAAGATGTGGCCACATGGGGGCATCAGAGAGCATATGTATGAACCGAAGAGGGAGGGGAGAGAGGCTGTCACAGCACAGGTATGAATCCATGTGTTGGGGGAGCATCACAGAGCGCAGGTATAAACCAAGGTGTAGGGAGGAGGAGGAGGAGGAATCACAGAACCAAGAAATGAACTGAGGCATGGGTCTGAACAGGTGTGGGGGAAGGGGCATCACAAAGCCGCAGGTATGATCTGAGGCATGGGTCTCCTGGGAGCATCACAGAGAGCAGGTATGAACCAAGGTGTGGGAGGGGACATCACAGAGCACAGGGATAAACTTAGGTGTGGGGGACGGGTGTCCTACAGCAAAGGTATGCTCTGAGGTGTAGTCACATGGGGCGTGACGTTTCTTTTATATGCAAGGGTATGAGGCGGCTGGAACCGGCGTTGTCCATATGATCGCTGTCAACGTATAAAAACAAGGTTGATCTCTGTGCTTTGGATCCTGGGGCCTGGATGAATTCACTTATCTGGTCTGTTTTAGGGTTTTCTTTGGGATAAGGACTGGACTGCTAGCTTTTTTTGCGGTTCAAACCCAGCAGCCACTCCTTGAGAACCCTACACAGGGCCTGAGTCAGAACCCACTTGATGGCACTTAACAATAACACACAGACAATTAGGAACTGTTCTATTTCTTCCTTCCCAGGTTATGTCCCTTTCACTTTTGGTCATACCGTATTTTACTGACCACCATTCCTTTGACTTTAACTTCTCAGCATCATCTTACTAAGCGTGTCTTTCAGAAACAAAGTGGAATTGGTCAAATGGTTCTTTGGCCTAATCTTAACTACACCACAGAACATATTTACAGAAAGAAGTTTCCAAAAAGCTGGTGGGAAAATGGAATTAAAAGCTAATGGAATTTTCCCACCAACTTTCTGAAGCCCCCGTCATATTTGCTGAAGATCCCTGGTATTATAGTAGCTACACATTGGGCTGCTAACCATCAGGTCAGCAGTTCAAATCCATCTGAGGCTGTCTGTTCCTGTAAAGGTTTATCGCCTTGGCACCCTACAGGCAAGGGCACTGAGATGGAATGGGCTCAGGGACACACAGCAGCAGCAGTGTATTAGCTTGTAGTTGTTTAGTGGGGTCCTGGAGTGGCACTGCATGAGCTAGACTGCCAGCCACAAGGCTGGTGGTTCAAACCCACCAGCCACTCCTTAGAAACCCTATACAGGGTTACTATGAGTCGGAACTAATTTGACGGCACTTACCAACAGCACTATAACAAAGAGGACCCGTTGGCACATGAAACTAGAGCCACAGACATAGTATTGTTGGTGCTGGGTGCCGTCTGTCTAATGGGTCCCAATGCCCAACAGAAGGAAACACAGCCTGGTCCTGTACCATCATTACAACTGTGACATTGCAAGTCACGGGAGTAGAGGTTAGAATTCACACACATACTTTGGGGACACAGTTCAATCCATAACACTCATACCTAAACACATCTTCTGCCTTAGCGTCTCCCCTTGACCTGCTTTTCTAACAACTGACTTCTTCTTTGGTTTCCTCTTTTTCTGTTTCTGGGGATCTTCTTGCTCATCATGTTTTCTTGGTGAATTTTGAGGGGAAAGGTTACTTTGTTCTTTTAAGGATACAGAGTACATGTCTTTTCTGTGGCGATCTGTTTAAATTAAGCTTTTGATGTTGACATCATGACAGATCTGTATGTGGCTGTACAAACACAGAGATCTAGCGCCTTTGGCCCGGGTTCCTCCAATGGTAACATTCTGCAGAGCTGTAGCAGATGATTACTACCAGGAAACTGGTTCAGATGCAGACGAAAGATGAGACGTTGCCCCTTTAGCCACACCTGCTTCCTTACAACTGCCACCCCCTGCTGACCCCCTGGGAACCACTAGTCTGTCCTCCACCTCTGTCACTCTGTCACTTCAATAACATCATTGCTGTTACATGCTCTTGGGTCGGTTTCGACTCCTAGTGACCCTGTGTACAACAGAACAAAACACTGCCCAGTACTGCACTACCTCACAATTACTGTGATGTTTCAGCCCACTGCTGTTGCCACTGTGCCAATCCGTATCGGTGGGGTCTTATTTTTCTTCACTGACCCTTTATTTTACCAATGGGCTGCTCAAGGGATTGGTCTGTCCTGATAACATGTCTGAAGAATGAGAGACAATGTCTTGCCGTCATGGCTGTTAAGGAGCATTCTGGCTGAACTTCCAACACAGTTGCTCATTCTTTAGGCAGTCCGTGGTTGTTGTTGTTGTTGTTGTTAAGTGCCATCGAGAGTCGGTACCAACTCAGAGGAACCCTATGCACAGCAGAACGATGCACTACCCGATCCTGAGCCAACCTCACAATTGTTGCCACGCTTGAGTCCACTGATGCTACCACTTGGCCAATCCACCTCGTTGGGGGGCTTCCTCTTTTTCTCTGATCCTCCACCTTACCAAACACGACATCCTTCTCCAGCGACTGGTCTCTCCTGACAATATGTCCAAAGTATGAGAGACGAAGTTTGGCCATCCTGGCCTCCAAGGAGCACTCTGGCTGCACTTCTTCCAACACGGATCTGTTGGTTCTTTTGGCAACCCATGGTACTTTCAGTATTTTCTTTCAACACCATAACTCAAAAGCATCAATTCTTCTACGATCTTCCTTATTCACTGTCCAGCTTTTGCATGCATATGAGGTTATTGAAAATACCATGGCTTGGGTCAGGCACACTTTAGTCCTCAAGCTGACATCTTTGCTCTTCAACACTTTAAAAAGGTCTTGTGCAGCAGATTTGCCCAATGCAATACGTCGTCTGATCTCTTGACTGTTGCTTCCGCAAGTGTTGATAGTTGATCCAAGAAGAAAGAAGTCCTTGACAACTTCAATCTTTTCTCCATTGATAAGAATGTTGTTTATTGGTCCAGTGGTGAGGATTTCTGTTTTCTTGACATTGAGATGTAATCCATATCAAAGGCTGTGCTCTTTGATCTTCATCAGTAAATATTCTAAGCCCTCTTCACTTTCAACAAGCAAGGCTGTATCATTTGCATATCACAGGTTGTTAATGAGTTTTTCTCTAATCTGATGCCACGTTTTTCTTCATAGAACCCAGCTTCTCAGATTATTTGTTCAGCATACAGGTTGAATAGGTATGGTGAAAGAATACAACCCTGTCACACACCTTTCTTAATTTTTAACCCATGTTCTGTTCAAAAAACTGCCTCTTGGTCCAGGTACAGATTCCTCGTGAGCACAATTAAGTGTTCTGGAATACTCATACTTCACAATGTTGTCCATAGATTGTTATGATCCACACAATCAAAAGCCTTTGTGTAATCAATAAAGCGCAGGTAAACATCTTTCTGATAGTTTCTGATTTCAACCAAGATCTACTGGACATCAGCAATGATATCCCTCCTTCCACAGCCTCTTCTGAATCCAGCTTGAACCTCTGGAAGTTCTCTGTCAATGTATGCTTGCAGCCATTTCTGTAGTACCTTTAGTAAAACTTTACTTGCATGGGATATCAAGGATATTGTCCAATGATATGTTTAGTATTATTCGCCAACACCATAATTCAAATGCATTCATTCTTCTCTGGTCTTCTTTGTTCATTATTCAGTTTTCACGATTCAAAGTACCATGGCTTGAGTCATACACATCATAGTCCTCAGAGTGACATCTTGACTCTTTACCTTAAAGAGGTCTTGTGCAGGAAGTTTGCCCAATGCCATACATCATCTGATTTCTTAATTTCATCTTTTCTCCTCTTACCATGATGCTATTAATTGGTCCAGTTATGAGGATTTGGGGTTTCTTTACATTGAGGTATAATCCATACTGAAGGCTGTGCACTTTGATCTTCATCAGTCCTCTCGGCTTCACCAGCAAGCAAGAATGTGTCGTTTGCATGTTACAGGTTGTTAACGAGTCTTCCTCTGGTCCAGATGCCAAGAACATCACATAAATGGAACCACACTTTGGGTTGTCCTTTTGAGATTGGTCCTTCACTCAGCCTGATTCCCGTATATCCAGCCAGTCCCTTTTGAGTGCTGAGTGGTATTGCTCGCTATGGACATACCACAGTTTGCTTAGCCGTTTCTGCCCACTAAAGGATATCAGAGTGGTTTCCGTTTTGTGGCCATGACAAAATACAGCTGCTACAGACCCCCACGT